CCCCTTCCTCTGGACCAGGAGCAGTGGGACGACAGCTCAGAAGCCCCTACCTCTGGGCTGGGAACAGTGGGACTCAGTACCTTGGTCTGGTGGTCTGGTGTCTTCTGTGCCTTGGTAATGTGGAATCAGGTGGCTACCTGTCCGCAGTAGGGTGATTTGGTGTCTTCCGTGTGTCTCAGGACCTCGGTAGGGCGTGCACAGACCTGCCTGTCTGCAGGGGGCTGATTGGGCATGTTCCGCGGGACTGGGGACCTCGGTAGGGTGTGGGCACACCTGCCTGTCTGCAGTGGGGTGATTCGGCATCTTCCACGTGACTCTGTATTTCTTAATATGAATGTGTGTGTAAAACAGTGTTTTTATGTTTTTTCCTTTCCTATTCCCAGCAATTTAGCATCCTTTTCTCTACATTCCTCTTCCCAGCCTTCTTTGTTATTTATTCTTTCTTAGTGGGAAATTTAACTTTCAATTTTCCAGTATAATTCTTAAACTTTACCCAACTATTCCCAGGTTGCCAAGGTAATGTGGATCCATCATGGAAACTTAAGAAAGAATCATGCTCTGCTCCATATACATGAACTATGTCAAGAACATGTAAAACTATTTTGTATTGACATGTTTGCAGTTGTAAAAAAATTCTACTGTTATATACAATTTATGTATAAAGAATGGGGAGGTTTGATATATTGATACTTTTAACTCTAAGTGAACCTTTATTATCTAGATGCTATCTCCAAGTAAAAATGGTTTACAGCTGCCAAATTGTATGAAATTAATCCTCGAGTTGTTTTTGTATGTATCATAGCTTAAGCATTTGTTGTATGTCAGTAGAGAAGGGAGAAAGGAAAATTGGGGATTTTAGTCATTTGTTGATTTTTTTCATTTATTAACTTTCTTTGCTAACTTTAAATTTATGAACATCATATAAAATAACATTAAACCCTGTTATAATGAAGAAAAATTAATGTATGTTCCTAATAGACTCAAGACATTAATAGTTATCTTCTAAGGCTTTATAGATTTTTATGAGTAAATGTCAGGACAGGGAAGTGAAATGAATTATCTCCATGTTAAACCATGGCTAGATGGTGAAACTAGATACAGATATTCAAATGTATTTAGTTCTGATTTTATGCCTTTTAGCTATAACTTATTTGTTCACATGTACACAAGCATGTGCATGCATGCACACACACACATACATCAAGAAATGGATTCTTTGCCCCCTCATCTGGACAGGCTTCATTTGTCAATACTTAAGAGCAAATCTTTTAAAATACTTTTAAATCAAATTCTGATCATTCTTGTAATCACGGTCCTCTATCAACCAGGAAAGCCAAGTTGGCCCTTTGATCGAGGGGAACTGAAGTGTCTGCTTGAGTTGCTTCACACAGTCTCTTTTCCAACCCCCAGGTGAGCACAAAATGCCGAGGCCTCTGGTGGGAGTGTGTCACCAATGCTTTTGACGGCATTCGTACCTGTGAGGAATACGACTCTATATATGCGGAACACCCCTGTATGTATCCCTCAGCCCTCCCCGACTGCAGGAAGGGGATTCCCAAGGAAGCTGGCCTCAGATTTCCATCGTGTGGCTTTGTTTTCTGTACTATTCTATTAAGTTTGTGCAGTTGGGAATGCTTCTATTAGAAACTGAATTTATGATACATAAGTTGAAAAATATTTTAGTATATTTTTACCTTTTCCCATATATTTGTAAGTTCCTTGAGAATAGAAATATCTTTTCTGAGCTATTCACCAAAGGACCTGACATAGCACCTTATGCATAGTAGACATATAGTAAATACTTTTTAAAAATTGAAATATATTCATTGTGTGTCATGGTTTTATGATTAGAATTGACAAGTAAGATGAAGGGCCTTTCTGAAATGTCTCTCAGCAATGACTTGGCTCAAATGGAAAGTTTGCTGTTATTTCCATTGAAGATTGTAGGAAAAAGAGAGGTAGAGGTAGGGGGACAGAGATAGAAGGAGAACAAAGACAGACACAGAATATGGGAATTGAATGGATGGATGAAAAACTCAACACATGCAACACATTGTTAGCAGTAATATTAAAGCCAGGTTCTTTCTTGACTTACTTGTAGCTTTAAATCTTAGTTAAGTATTTACAAGATCCATGCTTCTGTGAATAAAAGAATCTCTTAAAATCTTTGATTCTCTCAATCCTTTTCTGTATCATTTATTTATTTATTATTTATTTATTTATAACATTCAACTCTGCCAAGAGATAACAACAGTCCTGTTATTAAAGCAAAGTGGTTTTAGTCCTCTTCAAGGTAAATGATGGGTGATGGTACCACATAGAAAAATCTTTTCTTAAGAAGTACGAGAAGTAATTACAATGTGGCTTTCCCCCTGGAGAGCTGTTTCAATCTAGGGAAATTCATTTAAACAAGGAATGCTGTAAAATACATTCAGCTACTATTTAGGAGTTAGGAGTCTGAAACAGCTTAACACAATTCATAAGGCCTTTCACTAATTTTTCATTTCCACGAAATTATCTTAATTCTTTTCCCTTTCCTTTTTTATATTACACTAGTTCTTCTCACAAAGAAACATGATTTAATGAATAAGAATAGAGATTCATATGGACACTCTGCCTATTCCAAAGATTCAAGGCATGACCAGAGCTAAGGAAAAAAAAATCCCAGAAGATTAAATGTTTAACACTTTTAAATGTGATTATGTACATTTATACGAGAACAAAATAAAATTGCCCTGTACAGGCCTAACTACTGTTTATATTTTGTCTATGCTATCTTATATTATTTCCTTTGTTGTCATTTATGACATTTAAATAATATACAAGATCCATTACTTTTTCTTAAAACTTATGTCACATGTTTAAAGACAACTGGGATAAAAATGTATTCTAGGGAAATCCCATATCTATATTCTCTAGGTTAAGGTCTTGCCTAGGAAGAAATAGAACCTTCTTTTGGGATTTGTTACTTTCAAATAAGTACACTTGGAGAACTCTTTCTACTGCCATGTAGACCTAGGCTGTGTGTCCCCAGATGAATTAGTTTTGCAGGATCCTACTGATAAGGATAATTTGAGTCTCCCCAAATCAGTCTAATAACCCCATTCTGGTGGCCAAGTGTCACATGATCCGATCCTGAAAACAGAATCCCCTGTCAGGGCTGCCCTCCAAGAACCAGGCCCCTGAGCAACCCTGTAGGTATGAATCTTGGAGCTCTGCAGAGCCCCTAATTGTGGGGAAGAGGATGGGAGAGTCTCGACATGAAGGAGAAATAGGGCACATGAAGATCTGGATGCATTCAGACTACCCTGTCCTGATAGTGCTCTTGGCCTGGGTAGTCCCAGATCCCAAAGGGGAAAATGAGAAATTCCAAAGGAGGTGCTCATGGCTTGGAAAATTGACCAGGTGGCCCAGTTGGGTACACCATTTGGTTATCAAGAGAGTATGCTGAAATAGAGAACACTGTTATTGCTTAATAAGTTTTATATTTGTCTCTTTCCTCAATTTCTAGGAAAAAAAATGACTCATATTCAGAATATTGAACTTTTTTGAAACAATGCCAACTTTTAAAATATTACAAATTGAATGTTAAGGACAAATATATTTTAATATATATATACACAAATAAGAATATATACATGCATATGTATTATATTTGCAAGGTGGGGGAATTTTATGCATAGATTTGTTCTCTCAGATATGTTATACAGATATTTTATATTTCAAATAAGGAAATTGACTGCATTTCTGCAAATAGTGTATTACCAAAATAAGTCCTAATTTTGCCTCACTACTGAGGAAAAATTATTTAAAAAGCAAGGAGATCCCAGATCACTCTGCAAATAATATATGATGTCAATAACTTTGTAATAGTTTTGAATTTTATGAAAAAATCAGAGGTATTCATATCCAAGTTTATGCAAATGTAAAATGTGACATTTATCAGGGGTTTGTGTTACTATGTGCATAGTTGCCTGTATTTGATACACCTCTGGGATTTAACCTGTTTCTCTCCCCTGACTTTGCTGTAACCACGTGTCCTGATCACACAGTGAAGCTAGTGGTCACTCGAGCATTGATGATTACTGCAGATATTTTAGCTGGTTTTGGATTTGTCACCTTGCTCCTTGGTCTAAACTGCGTGAAATTCCTTCCGGACGAGCCGTTCATTAAAGTCCGCATCTGCTTTGTTGCTGGGACCACATTACTAGTAGCAGGTATGGAATGGGGGTAGTAATGAGAATGGGGATACTCACCTGAGGACTTGGGGTACAACAGAAGGATGCTGTTCTAGGGAAGTCCATTTGAGGGCTATAGGTGGCTTTTCCAGATTAAAGAAATAAAGAGCACATCTACATAATATTAACAAGCAATACGTTGAATGCTTGAATTTTAAAAAATATTATTGCAGTAAAAGACCCATTGCCCTTAATATTTCTTAAAAAGCTCCCCCTCACTTTTAACACATGCATCCCTCATTCTTGCCACTGTCTGGGGCAACTCTCAAAATCTTTTCTTGTGAGTGTGTTTTCCTGGTTGCTTTCATATCCTGAACCCACTCAAAACATTTACAGGAATTGCTGTTAAATAAAAACCTTACAGTGAGTGCTCATCCACTTTTTCCACTGGATCTGACACCGTGTGATTTCTGGCTCCTGCCACCAGTCAAAATGATCATAAAAGGTAAATGTTTTGAATTGAATCTGGACATCAAAGCAGCCATGAAATCACAATTAGACAGAAAAGAGGAATTCCAAAACCTTCTTCTGGAAGGGACAAGAAAGATGAGGTATGTGTGTTTGAAGTGAAACAGGATTTTAAGGACAACTAATGGCAAAGCCCTTTACTATAGTAATCTTTTAAAAGTTTAAACCTCCACCTTATATTTTGTTCACACCTCCTAACAAACCTACTTTCTTTACCTTTAGAATGAGATAATTAGTCTTTTGTTAACATACCAGATTAGGGTAGGTTGAAGTTCTTACATTATTGTGTTGGCACTTAAAAAGCTATATGTTTTCAGTTTTTAGAATTATGTATTATTTGAGAATTCCTAGAGTAAAATCCTAAAGTAAGATGTCACTTCCTTACCCCTACCAAAATTTTTTTCTTTTTAAGTAATAAGTTAAATTAGCCAAGTCATGCAATAAAGTTTTCTGTTATGCTAATGCATTTTATCATAAACATAACAAAAACAGATGATATTACCATCTGAACTGAAAAAGTAAATAAAGAAATAAAATTCAGAAGCCAAAAATCAAGTATAACAAGTGATTCAAGAGGTATTTTATTTATATGGTGTTTATTTGTAAAAGAGCAAAATTGATTTTTCACTCATATCAGTCTTCAACTTCAAAAAGTAGTCTTCCTCTATTACAATGTATATTATTGGATCTTAATGCAAATTGTGAGGGATTATACTGCTGAAGAGATCAAAGTAAAGGAAGATAATAAACCAAAAGGACATAACTCCAGAGAGAAAGCCATCTTCTTATATGGTAAGAATTTAGCAATGAAATGTAAGTGAGAAATTGACCGGTCAGTGTGGGCTAATGAATATGGATAGGACTTTGGAACTAAGAATACATGAAGATATAGTTTTATCTTTGTTTCTTTTCCAGATCTGCAAAATTTTGGACAGTAATGTCTACCTTGGTATACTCCTGTGAAAAGTCAGTGTAGGCAGAGGAAGCTCTTAGCAGAAGGCCCATACTTAACCTCCTCCGAATGAGGCTGGGGCCAGGGATTTAGCTCAGTGGTTTCGCCTCCTGCTGCACAAGTGCAAGGAACGGAGTTCGATCCCCGGTACAAAAAAAAAAAAAAAAGAATGGGGCTTCCCTGGTGTTTTTACACAGAAATTCGAGTTTAGGCTCTGAGCTCAGGTTGTATTTAAAAGTCACAAGAATTTAGTAATTCTTCCAAAACATTCATTTCCATATTCATTCTCCTTAGAACACAATCTTTTTGTATATAACGGTTTGTTTTATTTATCAAATTTAAGTGTTGTTTAAGACTGTAATTTTGTTCCAGAATGGTCTGAGGCATCACCAGGTAGCCCATTTTAAAATAAAATGACAAAGCAATCTTTTGGAAAAACGAAAGTCACTGATACAAATTTCTGTAGGAATGACAGAAGACATGACTAACTAAACAGGCGGGATGCTGAAGGCTTTGAAATCACTATTCAGAATGAGTACGCAACATCAATGTATTTAAAAAAGTCTGCTGTCTGCATTGAAGTTTCCAAACAAGAATTTCCTACTTAAACCAGTGGGTAATAGCGTTATAGGAAAGGTTTGGCAATTTGTATCTGTTTCTAAAGGTTACAGACTCATGAGTTTCGTTCTTAAATTACTTGCATTAAACAATTAGAAATAGTTATTTACATAGTCATTACAGACTCCCCAGAAAAATATGTAAAACTTAATTTTGAAGGTATAAATTTTAGAAATACCTTTTACCATAGGTTCTGTTTCCCCATCCCATGTTACCATTTTTGTTCTTGCTTTTAGGCCTTGCCATACAACTAAAATGCTTAAAGTAAGAGGAAGCCAATGGTATCACTTCAAACTAGCCAGAGAGGCTACCTATGGAAATTAAATTTTACTCAATACATTAACATTTCTTGGTCCATTTTTATGTGGTGTAGAAGTGGTAGATAAGGATTTATTAAAAATAAAGAATTATTAAACTAAGTTATTTGTTTCAGATATTGAAAAATCAGTCTTGAATGAATATTTGCTCTAAATTATGTGTGATTGTTTGTTCTTTCAGATTTTCTTCTATTTATTTATTTATTTATTTATAGGTACCGGGGATTGAATTCAGGACCTTGCTCTTCTTATTATTTTTTAAATACTTTCTTTATACAATTCAGTTATGAGCTGCATAACAAAATTTTACCCAAAGACAGGCCATGACAGTGGCCCCTTATAGTTATAATGAAGCTAAAAATTTATTACCCAGTGACCCTGTAGCAGTGGTAACATAATAACACAAGGCATTCCTCACGTGTTGTTGTGATACCGATGTAAAAAAAAAAAAAAAACCTACTGCACTACTTGATAATGATAATTAACAGCTATGCTAATGGCTTATTCATTTGCTATATTATACTTTTTATCATTATTTTAGAGTACATTCCCTCTACTTATAAAATTTATTCATTGCAAAACAATATGGCATGTTTCACTGAGAGCAGCCTAATACCGTTTATGTTTACTGCATTTCTTCATTTCATGCCTTTCTCTTGTGCTTGGTTTATTTTTAGATTTCTGTATTCATCATGGCCATAGGAGCAGTAGGCTATGCCATGTACACATGCTATATAGCATAGGTTTGTGGTGGACTCTCCCACCTAGTTTTGGGTACGTACACTCCATGACTTTCACACAGTGCTGAAGTCTCCTGTAGACACATTTCTCAAACATATCTTTGTCATTAAAGCGATCCATACTAATATAGCTTTGGAAAGATAGGAAAATTAAAGAAAATCTAGTGAACATTTTAGGTTCACACAACCCAGTGAGCACTGCATTATTTCATTTTTGTATTTCCTCTTATGTATAAATTGAAACAAACTTTGGAAAACACAGGAGATGAAAGATAAAAGACAAAGATAGAAGAATTATCCAAAAATTGAGTTGCCTGTGAATCTATAATATCATTATTAACTCTTTAAATGATACATTTTGGGAAGTAAGCAGGTTTCCTTGGATTTAAATTTGGAAAATTTTCAATATTATCTCAAAATCCTTTCTTTCATTCAGGTGTCCCAGGAATCATTGGTTCTGTGTGGTATGCTGTTGATGTTTATGTGGAACGTACTTCTCTGAATTTTCATAACATATTTATTGGCATCCAATATAAGTTTGGTTGGTCTTGCTGGCTTGGAATGGCTGGATCTCTAGGTTGCTTTTTGGCTGGAGCTGTCCTCACCTGTTGCTTGTATCCCTTTAAAGGTAAGTACAAAATAAAATAACACATTTCCTTGCATCCACTATCAAGGCCAGTGGTAAAACATCTCATTATGATGAATGCTAAAATATTGAAATTTCAACCTATTGCCATTAAAAATTCCAGTTGGTAATTGCTTCTCAGCATTTTGGCTAAGATCAAGTGTAAAAATTCCAGTTGGTCAAAGATAACTGAATTGTGATACTCAAATTTTACTACAAAGTTAGTGGTATACTGGTAAAAAAAAATCCAAAGCTATAATTTTGTCCAATATTAAATGTGTAATGGTATTTAAGTTATTTTTTAATTTTAATGTAATACAAGTAGATATTAATAAAGAAAATATAAGCATACTTTTCCCAATTCATTGTCAAAAATAAAATAAATTTCATGTCAAAATAATTAGAGAATAACAGTGGTTAATATACCATGTATCAAGATTTTAAAAGAACGGCCAAAATGTTATTCAGAGTACAAGTCATAGAAAAAAAGAAGTTTCTCTCTTAGAAAGAAGAAACAAACAAATAAAATCAAAAAACTTTCTTTTAATAAACACAAAAAAGTGTATTATATATGAAACAAGTATTTATCTTAAAATATTTTGAAACAACAGATTCAATAATTTGGAGAGTTGAGGTGTTGATATATCATAATTTTTTGTACACCTAACTTCACCCAGCCAACTAAATTCAGGTACAAATAGAGAAGTGGACTGACATCCAGTCAAATAGTTATAAATAAAGAATTTAGGGCCCAGGGATTTAGCACAGTGGTTCCACCACCTGCTTTGTAACCGCAAGGTTCCGAGTTCAATCCCCGGTCCCAAAAGAAAAAAAAAAAGAAATTAATGTGTTATATTGAATTTCTTAAACTTTCATTCTAAAAACAATAATGACTCCTCTCATCAGCAAAGAAAGAAAGAGAGAAAGAGAGAAAGAAAGAAAGAGAAAGAAAGAAAGAAAAAAGTTACTTGGATAAATTTTCAGTCTAAAGATAACCTTTAGCATGAAAATTTTAGATTTTCTTCTAGGATTCCTAAATCCTTAAAATGTTTATTTCACCCCTTTTTGGGAAAAGCCATACCAAATTGTGTTTTTTCTTAAATTTTGTAAAATTTATTGAGTCATACTTACTTTTGATTTCTCGGCATTTATCTTTTTCAGATGTTGGGCCTGAGAGGAGCTATCCTTATTCCATGGGGAAGCCCTACTCAAATGCAGGTGCTTCCATGGCTAAGTCCTACGTGGCTCCTCGCACAGAGACTGCCAAAATGTATGCTGTTGACACAAGGGTGTAAGGGGCCATGTAGCCACCTGTGTTTACACATGATTGGTCTGTCAATCAACATGTTCAAGTTAATAACATAGCGGTCCAATCCTGGGACAATTATTTATACTTTTTTCCAATAAATTGCTAGCTTACTGCAAATGTTTGATGCTACTGTCACTTGTCCTTTCCATTATTCTCTGCTTCTCTCCCACATCCACTTTCCCTATATTCTATGATAAGGGTGCTAGAATGTAGAAATGTTTGTTTCTTATTTCTATATGGCTGTTAGAAAATACGACATGGTAATATTAAAATACAATGACACTTCCAAAATAGAAAACAATTATTAAAAGAGGTTAGAAAATCTCAGCTTTGAGAAAACTGACAAACTCTTAGCTTCCTGTCTGTCTTTTGGTTCATTTTTTTAATACTCTCAGTGAATGAGTGAGTTATTTCCTAACTTTGAGGAAGATTATTCTTCCAAATTCAAACTTGTTTATCAAAGAGTAGCATTGCTCTGATTTAGTTAAAGCAGAAAAAGTAAATATCAGCTTTATAGACCAGCCACTGGTGGGAATTAAAGATAAGCTCCCATTTCACACTCTAAATGTCAAAGGCAAATGCTAAATTAATGTAGGAGTCAGGGATGAGTTTCTGCATCATTAACAACATACAACATCAGAATATTCCTTCACCAGCACTCCCGTTTTGACAGTATGTTGTCAAACTATTAGCCTAAAACAATAATACCACAGTTAGGGCGTTCACTCACTGACTGAACATCCAAATATATTTCTTGAATAAACATCAAGATTCAACAGTTCCAAAGCACACTCACCACCCGATCCTCAGCACCCAGCAACAAAATAGCAAACATAGTGCAAAATTTAATACCAACAACAATAGTAAATATTTATATCTATATCTTGATTGAAATGCACAAATGTTCACAACTCCACAACTGTACTGAATAAAATCAATCTTCCACATAAAATATGTGGGGTTTTTTAGAAAATTAGAGTATGTACACACACTCAAATAAGTCCTGATGATTGCTAATGGGATTTCATTCATGTTTATAATTGTATTCATCATGGACTTTTTAAATCATGGAGTTCTTTAATAGACTAGAAAATTTAATTTCAAGTTTTCTGATTTCTTGTAATTCATATGAATAGCATTAATAACCTTGCAGTTGCTCAAAAGAACATTGAATGAACTAGAAATTGGCTCTTTGGAAAAACTGAAATTAAGTTGTGAAATTCTGAGCACTTCAAAGGAAGCGCTTTCAATTTAGAAAGATCAGAATAATGTGAAAGTGAGAGGATAGAATATGTGTGCTAATGTCATGGAGATTGTTCTTCACGACTTAAGTTTCTTTTTAACAACGTCCTCTGAAGCCATTCCAATGTAATTTTAGAATTAAGAGCAATTGGATAATATATTTTATGGGTATTGTTAATTATGTAGTGGACATTTAAAGCTGTATATTATGTGTAACATTTATATATGTATATATGCTAACATTTTTAGTGCTTATTTGTGTGTATTTTTCCTTACCTTTGACTTTTTAAAAATTTCATTCCTACTTTAATTTTATATTATATTATCCTTCATGTTTTATATATTCCAACACTCCTCTGGAAATTCTCAGAAAAAATAGAAAAATTTATTAAATAGTTCATTATATTACATTTTTTTCATTTCTAAGATTTCAATTGTATAAGGGAATATTTGGGAGTATTATTGTTATGACTGATATGTATGACTGTTTGGATTTTTCTCAATTAAAACATTCTGTGTGCCCTGGGAGAAATATCAGTATTTAGGTATTTTATTTGAACTTTTTACTTCCGATTCATTATTATGTAATGAAGCATCAAAAATTGATCATGAAAGGAGCATATTTTGTATAACAACTAATTTACAAAGAAATAAATATTAAATAGTGCAGACATAATACTTGCCATAATAGTGGCTGAACTGGTCAAAAAAGAAAAATATAATCCGTAAGTATCACAAATATTATTAGGTTGAAATATTAAAATAGTCTACTAAATTCTGGGTTCTATCATTTAGTCAAGGCTGTTACTTACAAGAAAATATAAAATTAGACAGTGTTATTTACCTCTCTTTTATGAATCATTTATTTACAAATACCATTTTTAAATTGAAATTAACTTTCTATTATAATCATTGCATATATGCACTGCCTAAAGTTGGAAAATGCAAACATCTAAAATATACCTTATTTATAGATCCAAGTGCATATTCTTTCTGCCTATAACATCACTGCTCTACAACACTGTTGAATGTGTACACATCCTTCTAGATATTCTTCATTTATACAGATAAACACAAAGATATTCACCCAGACATACCATTTTTAAGAGATCATTTCGTATTTGTTGCTCTGTAACCTAATTCTCTTTTTCAGTTAACAAACCACTTCCTGGTAACAGTAAATTTTCATGTCATCTACTACACAGTATATGTGTAAATTTCTTCAAGCATTTAAAAATCTCCACAGCTGGCTTGTTGAAACTAGTCTCTACATTTCATTTGGTGGTTATTTCCAATCAAGCTACATTTTCCCACTAGCCTGATTTTCCAACAGTTTGCCCCATTTTCTAGATTTTTCTAGTTCTTTAATTCAGCTTATTTCTCAATACCTTTATTTCAAGTAAATTGAAATTTAAACCTAATAATTACATAGAATCAGGTTAAATATATTCTAATATACAGCATGGATACGACAGCATAACTGAAAACTAATTTGCCCTTAGTTTAAATGCTAACATTGTCACTTGGCTTAGGATGATGCCAATCATACCTCAATTTTTTCAGTTATATTTATATATATATATACACATATACATACATATATATACATACACATATATATATGTGTATATATATATATATGTATATATATATAGTGACAAAAAGGAGTAGTCAGGGCCAGGAATTTAGCTCAGTGGTTCTGCCACCTGCCATGAAGGCACAAGGTCCTGAGTTCAATCCCTGGTACCAAAAAAAAAAGAGTAGTCATTGAGGTGGTGTTTTGGAACTATAGAAATATCATGTTGCCCACCAGCCATATGCATAATAGTCCAAACCACTTATAAACTATTGGAGTCAATACATTGATTAAGGTTTGTAAGACAAATAATTTTCTATTTCTATGTCATCTCCATTTCTAATGAAATTCCTCTGTAAAATAAACTTCTGCCTTTTCATCTAAGTTGTCTTGAAAAGGTAGGATAAATGCTTAATTCTTTCTCTTTCTTTACCAATTCACAAATACAGAGTAAAGATCTGGTTTATTAGTACTGTAATATATAATTTATCAGCCACACTGCAACAATTTGATAACAAAAGTGAAGGCAATTAATAATCAAGTCAGGATATTCCTGATAAAGCAATAAGGTATGCTCAATCTATTAGTTTAAAAGGTACCATATATAATTTTTAGTAATTTTCATCTTTGAATGCTATTATAGGCTCACAGAGTTTCTTGGATTTTTTCATTAATTTTAATACATGCATACCTATGTTTATATCAGTGCTATTCACAAGAACTGAACTCTGGAAACAATCTAAACATTCATCAGCTGATGAATGGATAAAAAATGTATTTACACAATAAAATATTATTTAGCCACGAAGAAAAATGAAACTATATTATTTTCAGAAGAATGGGTGGAACTTGAAACCAGAGTATTAATGCTGAAGTACATACACAAAGTACAAATTTATAGCCAGATTAATTCTCACAGTGTAAATATACCTATGCAGTCAATATTATCCCAACAAATAAAAGATCATCCCTCCCCAGGAAGCTTCCTGATTTTGCCTTCTAGCTGTTATCCCTACCTCCTATGGTAACCACTGTCCTGATTTCAAACACCTAAGATTAGTTACGTCTATCACCCACCCCGGGGGTAGGGGCCACTGAACCAGGGCCTTTTCAATGAGGCACGTCCTCATTACATTTTTTTACATATAATTTTGAGACACTATCTAATTTAGTTGTTAGGGTGCCCTGGTTGGACTCAAATTTATGATCTTCCTGTCTCAGATTTTCAGAGTTTTGAGATAATAGGCATGCAGCACCACGCCCAGTTCATTCTGTCTGATTTTAAACCACTGTATATGTATTCTGTGTCTGTTTTCTTTAACTCAACATTACATTGTGAGTTTCAAGATTCATTCATATTGTTGTACAAAACTTAAGTAGTCTAGCTTTTTTTGTAACTGTATTATATGCTATTGCATGAATGTATCACAGATGCTGAATTTATCTTATTGGTAATGGATAAAGTGGGATTCCTTCATCATAAATATGCATATCTTCAGATATGGTGGATACTGCCAAGTAGTTTTCCAAAACGCTTGTACCAATGTATACTTGCACAACACTGTATGAGCATTCTAGCTCCTAGAAACCTTCCTAGCTCCTAATATGGTCTCAGTTTTTAAATTTTAGCCATTCAAGTGTGTATTGCTAACAAAACCAAAAAATTTTAATTTTTAACTTTTGTATTTCCAATAACTAATGCAATCGTGCGTATTTTCATATGTTTATTACTCATTTGTATATCTTGTTTAGTGAATTTTATATTCAGTTTATATTTTTCACTTTTGGATCATTTCTCTTTTTCTTATTGATTTGCGGAGATTCTTTATATATTTTAATGAGTGTTCACTGGACATATGTATGGCAAATATCTTCTAGTTTATGAAAAAGACTTTCTATTAATGGGATATTCTTATGAAACAAATTATCTTAATGTAGTAGAGTTTATAATTTTCCTTTATGGCTATTATTTATTATGTGCTGGTTAAAATTTTTGTTCTACTTACCCGGGACTGGTGGTATACACCTGTAGTCCAAGCTATCTGGAAAGCTGAGGCGGGCGAATCACTTGAGTCTGGCAGACTAAGCAGCCTGGACAAAATGGGAAGAACGTGTTTCAAAAAAAATTGTCTACCCACTGATATTTTCCTTTATTTCCTCCTAAATTATGTGTTCCTGTATAAAGATCCTTTATATTTTATGTGAAATTTAAGTATAATGTACATACAGAAAAGCACACAAATTGTAAGGATTAATTTGAATTTTTTTTACAAGCAACACATTCTGTAATCAACATTGAGATTAACAAAAAATTCTGCAGCAAAGCTCCAAAATTTAGTTTCACAGAGTTCCTAGATAATTCTTATGCCACTTACATAGCCCCAGATAAAAATTGACCTAAGCTTAGAAATCATTTTAAGAAAAAAATACCTGAGTAAAGATAATTTCCTTAGATGAGAATTGCATGATACAACTACACAACATTCTAATTATGTCCTTTATCTAATTATATCCTCTATCATATCAAAATCAATATGCTTTTCTTGTTTAAAGAACTGTGAAATTTAAAATTTTCAACTATACTCAATTAAAATATAATGATGAATATGTACTTTACAAGTGAATGTGTTATCACAAACAGCTGATGGATTACATATACACATGCAAAAGTACACACATACACAGACACACAAATAACTATTGGATTAAAATCAACCACAGCTCTTAGAGTTTAATGTTGAAAAACAGCTTTTTGGTTTCCAGAGTCTCATTCCTCTAAAAATATGTTGTATTTTATAAGTGCTTCTGATGGCATAGATACTCAACATTTTATTTTGTTTGAAAGCATAAGCAACCATTTCTTTTTAAGTACTATAGAACTATGTGCAACTTATTCACCTTGGGGCATAAATTTGCTCCTTAATTTAAATATGAGTATTTTAATAAAATTATTTTAATGAATAAAACATATGAATCCATTGCCAACAGTTTATTTGTAGATGAAAGTGTCATAGAAATATATCTTATACACACCTCCTATGAGTAAATCTATAAATTCATAAAAATAATAATACATTGTTTAGCACATTTTTGCAGACAAAACTGAGCTGGGTTCTGAAAAAGTAGTTCCAATATTTATTTTAATTAAACTATTATACAAACTCATAAATTTTAAGTTAGTGGACTTATTTTTAGTTTCTCTTCGTGGGGGAGGGTATTCTAAAAAATCCCAATAAAGTAAATTATGTTAAGAAAACAATAGAAGGGAGAGAATGGTATCTAGAGTATTACTTTATGTATGAACCAGCCTTCCTTAGAGACATTTGCCACCTTAATTATTTGCACCACCTTAATTTAACCCTCACTTAAGAGAGAAATGGCCAGAGAAGTGGGAATTTAAGCACCACCGATTATCTTAACTAATTCTCCACAGAATGAGAAATTTACATCACACACATACACAATGATAATCAAATTGCAACTCTTTTCTCTATAATTTTTTTAAACATGAAATTAAAATGTTAAAGTTAGAAAGGAATACGTAAATAAAGTAGAAGTACAGTGTAATAACGACTTAGTCCTGTAAGATATTTTTGAAGTCATCTCATTTAATCCCTTCATTCTACAAAAGTGCTATTTCAATCATTTTTAATAATAATGATAAAATAATATACAAGCTTTTAAAAATGTTGCTATTGAATAAAATAATACTGTGTGTGTCTATAGGAATGCATTCTAATTCATTTAAAAACACATCATTTTGTGGGTTAGATACCAGGTATTTTATTCTTAATAAATAGAAAATCCTAGATGTTGTCTTAAAGTCTCTTCATTTTCTCATCCAATCAAACATTAAGTGCTATAGATTCTAACTCAGTAAGGGCTCCTCAATCATTTTCTTTGTC